CATGTTAAACCACCAACCAAAACCTTTAGTAATCTTCTTGCAATCGCAGGCAGAAAAATTGGTAAGATGATGCCAATTTATAATGGTGCGAGATGGAGTTGACTCCATGTTGGTTATGCATCCAAAGTGTAAGTGCGGATTCAGAAAATCCCGCTACTTGGTGGAACAACATGGGAAGTGCTCGGTGAGGTGGAAATCACCAACAACTAGCCCCCCTCTGACATCAACCAGTCCAGTGAAGGTGGATGTCCAAAATCTTTTAGAATCTTTGCTCCATTTTCTTCATGGGTTCTATTGAGTACAAAATCTTGAGTATCAAAGGTATCTTAATGGTGGGTTTGTTTATGGCCGCTGCCATATATTTTTCTAACTTCTTTTTCTGGAAACTTTTTAACTGATTAATCATCTCGTCCACTTTGTTGCAAAATGCAACCTTACTTTTCAACCTCCATTATTTCTTACTACTATTTGTTGTAATATGGTTGAAAATTCTAAACTCAAAACTTCCTCCCATCTAAGCTCTCTTTCCTTCATTTTTAATTTTTTTTAACTTATCATATTAAAAAGTGAGATTATCACATTATCACATCATTATTATGATAAATTAACATATTATTTTATAATCATGTGACATAAAAATATCACATATAATTTTTTATAAAAATTTATTTAATTTAAAATAAAAATATAAAAAATATTAAATATAATAAAAAATATAATAATTTATTTTTTTTAAAAAAATATTATAACCAGTATTAGACTTGATCTCTAGCAAAGCCAAAAAGATTATTACTCATGTCAATCCTTAAATAAAATAATTATTATCATTTGTCATAATTTAGATAAAAAAAAAAAGAAAGCCCAAATCCATGGGCTTTGGGGTCCTCATATCCCTATGCCCCCCTGGACTTGAAAAAGAGAAGGAAAAAGAAAGTGGAGTAATGGCAAATAGATTCAAATTCCCAATTTTCCATGCTTGTGGCAAGTAACAATAGTTCAAGGCAGGGTCCTATTTTCTTGACGCCTTTCTTCTGTCAATTGCCTCCATCATTTTCCCACTTTAGGGTTTAACAGAAGGGTTTTTTTCTTTCTCAATCCTTACCCAAATGTCTCTACTGAAGCCCTAATTTTTCTTCTCAAGGAAAACAAACAATGTCGTCCTTTTTCTCAACTCCACAGCCGCAACAACCTCAGCCATTGTTTCAACCCCAACAACAGCAACAACCCTTCCAGCAAAGCAGCCCATTATTCCAGCCCCAACAACAGCAGCAGCAACAACAGTTGCAATTTCCACAACAACACCAGCAGTTTCAACAACAACAGCAACAGCAACAGCCACAGCAGCAACTTTTTCTTTTTACTAATGAGAAGACTCCTGCTAGTTACAGCACCAAATGGGCTGATCTGCACCCTGATTGTCAAAAAATTCTGCTTCAAATTGAGTATGGTTTCAGTTCTTTTTAATGGGTTTTTGTTTTGTTCTTTTATGTTTTATCTTTTTTTGTTGGGTTGGTGAGTTAGAAGATTAAAAGTAGAAAGAAACTAAGCACAATTCTGCTTTAAGCTGGATAGTAGTAGAACTTTTTGGCTGTCTGTTGAGTGTTGGTACATTGAACTTAAATATTCATATAGTTTGAATATTTATTTGATATTGTCATAGTGTTTTCCTGGAAAAAGTGCGTGACATAAGTTTGCCGTTGTGATTTGTTTTATGGGTTGAGCTTACATATCGGTGTTAATGGCACTCTGAGTAGGCATAATTATCGTTTTGGAATGTAGGGAAAGGATTTTGGAGTACAGGGATGAGAGCCAGAGGTTAGATCAATGTAGTCGCCTTTATGATTCTTCGGTTTCCAACGAAGGGTTTGAGCTTGATGCCAGCCACATTGTTCAGGTTTAACCTCTGCATCTTTTTTCCTGTTTATGTGAATTTGTGCTTACTTTCTTTCCTGGTTTTCTTTCTCTATGAGTTTTGCTGCTTCTTTAGACCATGCATTGATGGAGAAGATGAGCAGTAATTTCACAGTTTGCTTATAGTTGAATTTGGAGAATAATCTGGAGTAGCATTCTTGGTATTCAACATGAAACTATTATATGACACCCATATTAGGATTTAAGTAATGAAAGTGTTAAGCAACAAAAACTAGTTTGACAATTGTGAATATTTGCACTAGCTCAATTTCTAATCAATTTTTATTTTATGATGTATTGCTTTGTCTGTTTTGTGGAGGGAGTACATTCATAAGGGATGCAAATAAGATATCTGCTCCATCGTCTGAATTTATGAGTGGGTAACTCAGAAGTGTGTATTATTGACGGGTGCCAGAAACAAATTCTAAACTGTTGGAGAAGTTTCTTCCACCCTCATTAAGTGATGGTGTTCAACATTTGTAAAGTTATTTCCAAACCCATTGATCTGAGAACAACTAGATTTTAAGTAGAGTTATGTTATTACCTCCATGCCAGTCTTATGTGCTTTCAAGAATAGAACACCTCTAAACTTACAACACTGAATCAGTTGTTATATCTTTTTGAACAATGAAGCATTTCCCATCTGAATGATGTATATAAAAAACCATTAGTTTTGAAACCTTTTTCTTGTCCATTGGCCCATTATGGTGCTTAGCATTGGTGGATGATTGGGTGTTTCAACAGGAACTTGGAGGAGTCAGTACTGCCATGGAGCGGCAGAAAGCTTTGCTGCAGGAGTTGATGGCTACTGTGAAAGATATGTTAAGGAATACAGAGGTTGCCGTTCGTTCATTCATGATGCTTCGTCCCCGGTTCCTTTATTCAAACATAGTAGGTGCTTCAAATACCACTGCACCATCCCAGGCTCCAGGGGCAACAACAACACCAGGTTCTAGTGCTCAACCAAATGCTGCATCCATATTACCAGTTTTTGATTTTTACCATGGGCTTCCGAAGAAGCCATCTCTATTTCTACAGCATACAATTGCTAGATTTGAGAAGTATTTGGTTGAGTGTCGCCAGTGGATTGAAGAGTTGGAACAACTGCTCCTTTTGAATTCTGACAGAAACTCTATCAATCACACATCCTCATTGTTGCAATCTCTTCCAAAAGTCATGTCCAATGTTCATGACTTTTTTGTTCATGTGGCTGCCAAGGTAAAGTAAATATCTGTGCTTGTATCATTCTTTGTCCATGTGTGATGTCGTCTGATTGAGAGTGTGTATATATATAGATGTGTGCAAGATATATGCTAATTTCAGTTGCATGTTGTCCTTGGTAATTGATTATATGCTAAGGAGCAGAAATATATGTGGTTGTTCGGAACTTTGTAAATTGAAATTGAGTCGAGAGCAGGATTTTTGTCGTCTTCTTATATAAGGCTATGCTTTCAAATACACTTGATATATCTTACTTTTAACATAGTTAACATGCATTCAAGATATGATATTTGAGTTTAAGCTATATCTGATTTCGCTCAAACTCTTAACATACCTCCACCCCATAAAGAAAAAAGAAGGAAAAAAGATTTTGACTTGCTATATAACCATGTGTTTCTTAGGTGGAGAGCATTCATCAATACATTGAATCAATGAAAACAGCATATCTTGCTGATCAGCGCCGCACAGGAGATGTTAATGATCCTTTTCTTGAAGCTGATCGAAGAGAAACTGCCAAGCAAGAAGCCGCGGCTAAGAGGGTACATCCAACTTTGCATTTACCTGCAAATTCACAACCATCAACTCAGGTTGCTGGGTTGTTTGCCAGCTCAGCAAATCCTGGAGCAGCCTCTGCCGCACAGACATCTGCTGCAATAGCATCTGCTTCTTCTGGAGGGGGATTGTCTCTTTTTAGTACACCATCTTCGACTCCTGCTTCTTCCATGTCATCTTCTCTGTTTGCAACTCCAACCTCAGTTGCTTCCATCCAGACATCACTTTTCAGTTCCTCATCAGGATCGTTTTTAGGATCTGCATCCACTCCCTCTCTGTTTTCTAGTTCTACACCAGCTTTTTCTACTGCATCTGCTGGAGGCTCACTTTTTTCAACACCATTTGCTTCTGGTACCTTCTTATCCCATTGGTTTTTGAAATTACTTTTTATTTTAAAGTATTGTCATTAGGAAATCATGCTTGGAGTTTTGTTTTTGAGTAATTTCTGTATTTGGACATGGGTTGATAAATTTTTTTTATCTACTTAATTTGTTGTCTGACTAAGTTACTTCACTTTGTCGCAGGTGCTGCAACAGGGTCTGGTGCTAGCTTTGGGGCTGCATCTGTGAGTAGAATGTTTTCTTGGCTTTCAATTTTTTTCCTTTTCATAATTGATTATAAAAATAGCTAGTAAGCTTCAAGGAACACTAATTGCTGTGTGAGCATCAGTCAGTTCTGTTACCTGGATCATTATATTTCTCTTCGTTAACCTCTTTTATGTGTTCTTGCAGAAATCATCGAGACCAAAATCTCGAACTGCCCGACGTTAGTCATGGTAGCTTGAATGTGGAATCCTGAAGCAACTTGCTGTCTACTTAAATGATCCTTTGCACGTAAAAGGAGCCACACATTTCGTTTTGACTGTGTCTTTGAACGTGATATTGCTTAAAGTTCAGTGTCTTTAGCTCTGGAGTTGAAGGATCCCTGTAGTTGTTTTGGTGAAGTCCAGGAAAACAAGATGTTAACTTTGGTGAAACATACTAATCCATTTTCTTTGCAGCTTGATGAAGGTGCTACAAGATCCTTGTTACTGTAACATTGTAGGTCGGATTTTTTTCTTGAGAAATAAGATAGGAAAAGCATAATTATCTTTTATCAAGGTATAATCATATAAAAGGCATTTAGGATAAATCATTTTCAGTTCTGAATTTCTGATTGTCACTTTTGACTTTCGTCTACGAATGTTTCAAAGCTTTCTAATGCTGTATATGTTGGATTATATCTAACCCCTTATTTACAAGATGCCACAAAATATCTCAACCCATGCATAGAGTTCAGATCACAAGCTTCCAAATATGAATATATAAAGAATTAATGCCCGCTAATGGTTTTTTATAGCTAACAATTACAAAATTCTGGAAATCTAGTGGGAATTTATACATATTCCCAATTTGGTTGTTGGATAAATAGAGTAATTTGCAACAATTTTGTGTTAGTATCCTACTCAATGGATCCAGATAATCAAGCCTAAGCTCACAGCACACACTAAGGTGAAGGGTAAGCTTTTGCTGGTTTCTATAATAGCCTCACCTGCCAGGACGAGCAGTTACTTCCAGTAACAATATGCAAGCTTCTCAGTTTTCCAGCCGACTCTTTATCTCATGTTAAACTAAATACTTGAAACGAAGTCATCTGTTACTGATCTTATCATGTTCCCTTGTAGCCTATGCAGTTCAGCTTGTGCATCATTAAACCGGGGATGCAATTGATCTCCAGAAGAGAATATATGAATATTGTTCTTATCTTCAAACCAGCTTAGCCCAGGATCCTTTTCCAATGTCAAGTCTCTTATCTTTCTCCTCATTTCTGCGACACCTTCCCATCTCTCTGTAGCTGCGTAAAGATTTGAAAGCAAGATATGGGTTCCACTGTCTCTTGAATTTATTTTTAAGACTTGCTCTGCTGCATGTACTCCTTTTTCCAAGTTTCTGTAAGTGACACAAAAGCTTAGCAAAGTTCTCCAGAGTTCCAGATGTTCTTCACTGTAAGGTGATTCTGTGATTATTTTCTCTGCCTCATCCAATAATCCTGCCCGACAAAGCAAACTCACCATGCAAGAATAGTGCTTGGGCCCTGCTGTGCAACCATTTTCCTTCATATATCCCCACAAGAACTTTCCTCTTTCAACCAAGCCACCGTGGCTACAAGCAGATAGTAGAGACAAAAATGTTACTTGATCTGGTCTTCGTTCATTTTTTAGGATCTCCTCGAATAGCTCCAATGCATCTTCTGTCAATCCATGGAGGCTATATGCCCCAAGCATTGCATTCCAACACTTCAAATCAGGGTTGCAAATCAAAGAAAATATTGATCGAGCAGCTTGAAGGCTCCCATTTTTGGCATACATATCTATCAGACTACCACAAACAAACATTTCAACATCATATCCAGCTTTTATAGCCTGAGAATGAAGCATCTCACCTTGTTTCAACATTGCAAGGTCAGCGCATGCACTTAATGCTCCACTGAGAACAAAGCTATCCGTCTTATGCCCCACTTGACACATTTTAACGAACAATCTAATTGCACTCTCCCCATCAGCCATTCTGGAATAACCCATAATCATTTCAGTCCACAGAACCACATCTTTTTTCAGGATCATACAAAAAACCATCTGAGCAGATTCACTATCACCATTTTTGAAATACATGGACACAAGCGCGGTTCCTACAAAAACACAACTTTCCAATCCTGTTCTTGTAATTTGACCATGCAGGGGCTTCCCATAATCAGTCGCTAAGAGTGCACTTGTTGCAGAAATGACAGCAGCAAAAGTATACTCATCAGGCTTGGGAAACGACACTCCTTTCAACTTGACGAACAGCTCCATTGTCTTCATTCCATCACCATGCTCTGCCAATCCCGCGATCATTGAGTTCCAAGAAACCAAATCAGGGTTTGCAATCCTACTAAAAACGTTCAATCCCATTTCAATGTCACCACAATTGCAATACATGTCAAGCAAGGCATTTTGCAAAGGTAGATCAACTACTACATTCGAAACAACAACTCGGGCATGGATAACTTTCCCACAACCATAATTCCCCACCTTACCACAAGCATTTAACACCATTGAATACGTATATTGAGATGGAAAAACCCCATACTTAACCATATAAAAAAAGAGAGCCAGCCCTTCCCCTATCTTTTCATTCTTCAAGTTCCCAAACATTATAGAATTCCAAGCAACAACATCCTTGCCGTTTATGCAACCAAAAACTTCATTAGCAGATTCTAAATCCCCACTATTCGAGTACATCCCAAGCAATGAAGTTTGAATACAAACATCACCCAGAAATCCACACTTCACAACTAGAGCATGTATCGAAGAACCAATCAACCTATCCTCAACCAAACAAGCAGCTTGTAGCAAGCTCGTGAATGTGGCACCATTTGGCCTTAAAGACTCGAAACCCACCTGGGAAAACAAGCTAAAGGCTAAATTAGCATGGTTCGGAGCTCGAGAATACGCTGAAATAAGCGCATTGTATGAAACTACATTTCTACTGGGCGTTTTATCGAATACTTTCTTGGCGTCGGAAAGGGAGTTGCATCTGGCATACATGGACACGAGGTTGTTCTGGGGATATGGTGCAGGTGAATCCAGGGGTGTTGGGGTGGTGGTAAGGAGGAGAGCGTGGAGTTGACGCGCTATTTTGAGGCTGGTTATGGAGGTGCATTTTTCAACAAGGGAGGCTAGACAACGGGTTTCGTATGATGGTGGCATGCACGCAGACAAGGAGAGTGGGGGATATGATCGCAACTCGAAAAGTTGATACTCTCAGACAGAGATTGAGTTTTCCTTGGTTTTGGCTTTGCGGCCGAACAGAATTAATTGGTAATTAATTTTTTAAAATTAAATTAAATATCTTAATATTCTAAACAATCGAAACGCTACGGTTTTGCGCCTTCCGATGGACAAGGCACCGGCATAAAACACAGTGACTGAGAAATCCAGTCTTCGAAGCTGAGTCGAAAATCTAAATCCATGAACGGCACTCATCGGGGCAAGAAATATGTCTTCACCTTCGCTCTCTGATCTCGAATTCTCCCGTCTCTGCCGTCTGATCAACGATTCTCTCCACCCTTTCACCGTAAGTTCCGTTCTTGTCCAATTTTCTATATGCCCTTCATTTGCTTTTTTGTTTAATCTTTACTTGCTAAGTCTGTTTTTCTTTTACAATGGCAGGAATCAGAGAATATCTATCTAAGCAAAGAAGAAGAGAAAAACCTTCTCCTCATCCTATCTCAGGTTCCCCTCTCTTCCCCTTCTCTCTCAAGTTCCTACATTTTACTTATTTCATTACTTAACTCTTATCTCTCGTTCACCTTTCAGGTGTCAAATGAAATCCACCGCTTGATTCACACGACTGACACCGCTTCTCCATTAAACCCACAGTTAGAAAACCACCAATTTTTATCCAAAGCAATATCTCACTTGGTAAGTTCTTTGTATTCTCCTCTCTTTGTTTTACACATTTTTTCTTCAAAGCCCAAGTCACTTAATTCTTCAATATCTCTTTCAGATAACTATATTAACTTTCGAAAGCCGATTCATTCAACATTTAGCTGGCAACGTTCTCGTGACCCTCTCTGAATTCATAGCCTTCTCTGTACGTTTAACAAAATTTACAGATTTTGTTTGAAACTTTAGAGCTTGTTTTTCTTTTCAATGGTTTTTTTTTTTTGTGTTATTGCAGGGGAAAAGTTGGGAATTTTTAATCCGTTCGCTCTGTATTTGCTTTGAATTCTCAATCTCTATCATATCTTCATGTTCATTTGAACCTTCAATTGGTGGAGTTGAAGGTTCAGATTCGGATTTATTATGTCTTGTAGGTTTATTAAAACCTAAGTTGAAAAATGCTGGCTTGCTTACAGTAGCTGGAATTATTCGAATTTTAAGAAATATACTGAAATTTTTGAAGGAAGACTGTGATGATGAGCTTGTTCAAGTGTTTTTAAATTTGATTTGTTTTTGTATTTTGAATGTGCCTTGGGATTCTATGGATGAGATCTTTGGTGGAAATGGTGGTGAAGAGGATGAGCTGAGGATTGTGTTCTTAGGGAATTTTATTCAGTTTCTTTGTTCATTGGTTGAGCAATTTAGTTTTGTGGAAGGGTTAGATGATTCCCTGGATAAGCATGTGATTCTTTTGAAATTTATCAACCTTATGCCCAAACTTCTATATTGGTGCCTTGGCAAGAAAGGGGAGTGTGTCAATACATGCATCTCTCGGTACTTCAGGCACAAGTTATTGGTATGGAAATTTAAATGTTTTCCCACTACTCTTGATCTGTTTTATTGTTGCATGTAAGCGCTCTACTTATTTGAACTTAAACAAATTTTGCAGGTTTTGATGATCAGGCTCTGTTTCCAAATACCACTAGATTGTATGGTTCTTGTTTCGTGGTTGCAGCTTCTCCATGAGTACTTTCAAGAGCTTTTATGCCAACCTTTAACTGAAGTTGAGGATCAGTATGATTGTCTAGAAGACTCTCCTTTTATGTTAAGTATTACTGATGGTGAAGTACATAGTATGCACTCTTGCCATTTACAAAGACAGGCCATTTTTCTTTTCTTGAGGTGTTGCTTCAGTTTGATAAATCCAAGAAAAGACACTGGCATGCATTGTCCTAGTGCAATTTTAAAATCAGGCTTGAGTTTTGACACAATTCCAGATATGAGTTGTTTTGGTAGAAAGAAAGGTTTATTAGAGCTTTATACATGGCTTTCTGAACATCTGCCTGTCGATATACTTGTGGACCGTGAAACGTACATGGAGAAATGCATAAACTTTTCATTTTCCTTCCTCAAACTGTACATGCATGAGGTCGGTTCCTTGCACCCTTGGAAACTCTGCTTAACACTATTAGGCTGTATGCTGCTATGTTGTTTCCATTTCTGTATGTTTGCGTGTGTGTGCTTTTCCCTGAGAAATTATACTGCAGTATTTGTGCCTAAAGAGTTTGTAGTTGCTCTGCTTTCTTTTTCTTTTTATCTAAGCTTTGTTATGTGTGCCATGTTCTAATCCTTGTTTTTCCTAGGATGATGTATTATTCAAATTGCTCTTGCAACTGCTTTCTGTGCAAGCTTGTGAAGAACAACAGTGAGCAATGATATCCTGGTTGCTACCTTTTTTTTATTTAATGATTTTTCTTTGGTTCTTTTAACTGTTTCTTGTTTTTTCTGCAGATTCCCTGAAGAAAGATGGGAATCTCAAGATATGAGAGAAGATGTTCTTTTTCATGTTTCAAATATATTCAATCCCATACACCTATTTCATCTGTTCCTTGCTGAGGCAAGTTTTTACATCTTAATCATGCTATGAGCACCCCACCGTCCTGCTCATACATACACAAGAGAGAAAAGAAAGATACCTCCCAGGCTTTCCTTGTCACTGTCCAACAAAATAAGAGAAATAGAAATTAAAAACAAATGCATTCCACTTCTTTTGTTTGGAGTTTACCATATTTAATCATTGACATTATGTGTTTTCACTACCGGCAGTTGCACTATGACCATCAAGTGCTTCTTGATTATCTTATCTCGAAAGACACAGGAATTAGTTGTGCAGAATATCTCTTAAGGTATGTATTTTAGTTTTCATCTGTTGCATGCTTCTCCTTAAACTTAACCTTACAAGGTGGCATGATAGAAGAGTGCTGTTTCCATTCTTATTTGCTTCTGATTCAGTGTAACTCTGGCACGCTTTGTTTTGTGGTGTGGCCTTTTTTGTTTGTAGGTGCTTGCGCATGGTATGTGATTCATGGCAAATATTTACAAAATTCTCAGTGTATGGAGAAGTTAAAAATCAATCTTATTGCAAGAGAAGAAAAGTTTTATCAGAAAGCTCCAATTCTCAGATAGAGCCGTCATCTGGACCTGCAAAATTTGTTCCTTTATACCTAGAGAATAAATTTAAGAGTGACCTTGAATATAGAACTGGGGAACAGCCGTATCAGCAAGCGAAAGACTGCTTGCTTTCTCTGAAAAATTCCATGGAGAACCTTCACCTGAAGAACTTGTTTCCATATAATCCAGAAGTGCTTTTAAAACGGTGCTTCATTTTCCAATTATTGATTGTTTCTCATTGCTCAACATTTCAAGGCTCTTCATATTTTTAGAAATGCATGTAACTACGTGTTGGATATGAGAATACATACTTTACCATATTGCTTCTCAATAATAAAGCGAAAATGACAGTTTAATATCTGAATATTTCTACATTTTGTTTTTATTGCAGCTTAACAAGATTTCAGGAACTCTGCTTTAAGCAGTAGGATGATTACATTTTGAAGAATGGAAGGCCTATTCAGGTAACTGAGCTTTATCAAATTCTTTTAGCACATCTTTTTTTCAAAATGCTTGATACAAATTAGCTGAGTATTATTGATGATCCTGGAACTTCAGATAGGTAAAGATGCTGTGATATGCGATCACAATTTAGTTATAATCTTTTAATTTTTTTTATACATATATTCTCTAATGTTCAAGTTAAGGAGAAGAAATCTTTGACCTGAGTTTTTCTGGTTGTGCAGTATGACTCTGACCTCGTTGGGGCAGTTTATCCAAAGGAAAAATGGAAGCATTAGAAACGGATTTTCATGAGGCTAATATTCTTTCTTTTTTATTTGACAACAACAAAGAGGACGAGAGAGAGGAAATATTTGAAGACTGTTTCTATGTGCAGCTAACCAAGGAAGAGCATGTGAAAGGAACAATACTCGCCGTGGATGGAGGGAAGATGCCTCTAGAGTTGACAGATGCCTTAACGTAAATATGGAAATCAATTATGGTTTGGAACTTAGTTACTATTTATTTAGAAATTTATGGGCTTTGGTGGACTTCATTCTACTTCAAAGGGCAAACGACAAGAAACAGCCTAGCAGGCCTTCTCAGACTCCTGATCTACTTGATATGCTACTATTTGAAAAAGTTTAATTCATGTAAGCATTAACTATAATTAAATTTAATTGTTATACAAATTAATTTTTCATGTAGACAACTATTTACTAAAATGTTTACATAGCCAACATGAACAAGACTACTTTATATGTTGTTGTTCCTTTATATCCAACATGTATGATATCATGGTAAAAGAAAGATGTATGAGAGAGCATATTTTAAAGTTACAATTAAATTTTTTAACTTTTACTATAAGTAGTATGAATTTCTCTTATGTATTCAGTCAATTTGTAGCTATTTTCATTTTCAAAGGTTGATATAACCATGGGACATTTGAAACCTCAATATCACAACTACTCCTTGGATGGTGCTGCCTGCTGACTGCTGACTGCTGACTGCTGGAGCTAATTCATGGTTGATGTTAAATGTGTGGGACCTGGGTGTAATAATGTGATATGACTGCTACTTCAAGACCCAGCATGGCCAAATGAGGTTTTTCCATAGCACAAACTAGATTGGAGGCGAGAAAGGGTAGGAAGGGCAACAAATGGAGAAGGGAAAGAGTCATTTTGTGCTTGTCCATGGAGCCTGTCATGGAGCATGGTGCTGGTATAAGGTGGTAACTCTGTTGAAATCAGCGGGCCACCAAGTTACAGCTCTTGACCTAGCTGCTTCTGGGGTCCATCCGAAGCAAGTGCATGAGCTTCATTCGATGTTAGACTATTCTGAACCGTTGATGGAATTCATGGAGTCTCTCCCACCAAAGGAGAGGGTGATTCTGGTTGGCCACAGCGTGGGTGGATTGACCATTTCTATTGCCATGGAGAGATTCCCTGAGAAAGTCTCTGTTGCAGTTTTTGCCTGTGCTAGTATGCCGGGACCTGACCTCAGTTACATTTCTTTGCGTCAAGAGGTACTTGTTACTCTCTCTCATTCTTCACAGACATGGGCACACATAGTTACTTTTGCCCTTTGTTATATAGCATTCTTTCCATTTGAATTTAGGACCTACTACAAAGCTGGGTCCTCGGTGAAGCAAGCCACATAGAGAAGTCATAAGTTTGAAGGGATCTAATTCAGTTTTGATGTTTATCTTGTAAGATTGCTTTGGGACTTAGATTCTATAAATGGGAAAAGGTAGGCTGTAGTAATGCCTGCTGCTGCATGTTGCAGTATGCGATGCAAATCTACCTCTTTAGCTGGGAGACAAAGATCTGGTGTATATAATAAGCATGGTCTACAATTGTTTTATTTGGCTCTTTCAGGATGCTATGGAACCAGAAAATATGAAGACTTGTGTGAGTATTTTCTTAGCCAGCAATCTAAAGTAGGATTAAGGGATCAGCTAATTCTTGACTTAGGTTCTCAGATAATTGTAGCTTTCATTTCAATCTTGAAGTTGGTCAAACTTTTCTTATTTGTGGTCCCTGACATCTGATTCCTTTGAAACTGAACAACCCCTCAACAGGGAAAATGAGGGAAAAAAGGAAAAGAACAAATGGTGGGTTCTGAATCATCTGATGATCGCAACACTAGAGATTTCATTGTAGGATAATTGAGGCCCAACTTCAATCTGTATTGGTACGACTCCAAGTCTTATTTATTCTTGAGCCTAATTTTTCCTGGTCTTTTCTTGGACAGTTCCATGAGAGATTGGGATCCTTTATGGACACACAATTTACGTTTGATAATGGTCCTGATGAGCCTCCAACTTCATTGCTCATTGGGCCCAGTTTCATGTCAACTAAGTTATACCAGCTATCCCCTCCTGAGGTTTGATTTCTTTGCAGCCTTTATTCATTTATATACCTCATTCCGATAGTATAGTTTTCCTTGCCCTTCAGAAGAGAGCTGATATTTCTTCACTTATGTATTGTAAATTGGGGCAGGATTTAACTCTGGCAACAATGTTAGCCAGGCCTTTTGGTAGCAATAACGATGCAGCATCAGTTGAAGAAACTGAACTGACCAGGGAGAAATATGGATGCGTGCGTCGAGTTTACATAGTGTGTGACAAAGACAAGGTCAACGACGAAGACTTCCAAAGGTGGATGATTGAAAACAATCCACCAGATGAGGTGAAGCTGATTTCAGAATCTGATCACATGGTTATGTTTTCTAAACCCCAGGAGCTCTGCTCTTGCCTTGAAGAAATTGCAGAGAAATATGATTAGAGGGGCAATGCTTGGTGGGTTATAGGAAATTTGCTCGAGCCAACTCTTAGCCTTGCTTGATGCATGGTGAAAGTGAAACAGTTAGAATAAAAATGGGTGAATGCCCAAACTTTTAAAATGTTTTCCTTTATTGGTTTTGATGCTTGGTTGCCGACTCTCTGATGTTGTCCTCTTGGCTTTTGGTACACGTCTATCCTGCAGACTTGGCTTTTCTGATGTATTACGTTTTTGTTTGTCATTTTTATAGAATGTGATTTTGTATTTTGTAAATAAAGTATTTATATATTATTATTAAAATAAAAAAAAGGGATAAATACTATTACGAGACCTCAAATTTGACTGAAGGTCTTAAATTTGTTTAACTCAGATAATTTTGAGATACGAAGGTAAGAAACGATAGGAATAGGAGCAGAATGGTGAAGACAGAGAGGCATTTTGTGCTAGTCCATGGAGCCTGTCATGGAGCCATGGTGCTGGTATAAGGTGGCAACTCGGCTTAAATCGATGGGTCACAGGGTTACAGCCATGGACATGGCTGCTTCCGGGGTCCATCCCAAGCAAGTTCATGAGGTTCATTCGATTTCTGATTACTTTGAACCGTTGACGGAATTCATGGCGTCTCTCCCACCAGAGGAGAGGTGATTCTAGTAGGCCACAGCAAGGGTGGACTCTGCATATCTGCTCATGGAAAGATTTCCAGAAAATATTTCTGTCGCAGTATTTACCACTGCTTTTGTGCCGTGTCCAAAACTCACTTCTCAAAACTCTAATCGCAAGAGGTTAGAATTACTGCCTTTCTTCGATAGCATTTTTGGCCTTTGAAAATTTAGAACATATAGCAAATTACAAGTTATGATTTCATGAGTAGGACAATTTTGGGCCTAATTCCTTCTTTCTCGATTCCATATTGGTGCCTCACGTTTGGAACAAGAAAGAAAAGAAGATATTGGTGTAATTCTTAACTTTCATTCTGGTCTTTTCTTGGATAGTTGAATGACAGATTGGACTCTGACAAGTTCATGGACCACGAATTTGGGTTCCATAATGGGCTAGATGAGCCTGCAACCTCACTACTCTTTGGACCCAATTTCATGGCGTCCAAGTTATACCCATTATCCCTCCCGAGATAAGACTGTAGTCAATAGCCTTGTGCGTTTTGCAAGAAGTGCCCATTGAATTCATGTTTCCTTTGTCTTTGAGTCACGGGCTGATGTTTCTTGGTTTGCATACAATGGATGGGGGCAGGATTTAATGCTTGCACTAACTTTAGATAGACATGTTGGTTTCCATAACCATGAGAATCCTTCAAGGCTACTGTAGTCATTAAGGAGAAATACGGATCAATGCGTCGTGTTTACATTGTACTTTAAACGTTTATACTATAAAAGTAGATCTTTAGGTTTTAGAATTAATCTTAGAGAAAGGAAACTTTGTAAGTCTTTTGCTTTAGATAGAATTAAAGTGGTTTGGGTGAGTATTCTTGGGAGGTTATTGAGAAAGAGTGTGCAAAGGATCTTGGTTGTCAATTTATTATATTTTTAATTTTTTAATAATATAAGAATAAAATATAAAAATAGTTTCATTAGTGGACGTAAATAAAAAACCAAATCACGTAAATTTTATGTTTTTTTGTTTGCTTGATTTCTCTAGATTTTATCTTTGTTGTTTTTTGGACAATTTTCATAACAGTGTGCAACAAAGATAATATCATAAGAAAAGACTTGCAAAGGTTGATGATCGGAAATAATCCACCAGATGAGAATAAAGCTCATTGCAGCTCTGATCAATGGTTATGTTTTTCAAACCAAACGAGCTGTGCTCCTGCCTTCAAGAAACGTGCTTGGTGTTAGGAACTTGTCATTACTTGGAGTTTGCTCAAGTCCACTGTTAGCCTGCTTGATTGAAAGGGATGCAATAAAATGAATAAATGTAAAACTTTCATTGGCCTACTTAATTAGTGGCGTTGACATTTGGCAAATCCGGCTCCGGGAGTGGAGATTGTGGAAAGTCCATGGAAAGTCTCACTCCAAATCCAAGGATTTACCATTTTTCTTGGTAATCTTTAAGCTGCATCTTGGCGGTGGCGGTGACATTAAGAGAGATAGATGTGGGAGGAGAGGCAGAGAAATGGCGTTAAGATAGCATATACAAAGCAATTATGGAGCACTATAACCAGTTTTCTTAGTGCTTGTGCTTCCTTTTGATCCCTTTCTTCTTGCCAAGTCTTCGCCTTGTCTACCACTTGCTGCTTCTTTCTGGATGAATGAGTGTATTCAAATATCCGCTAATTGTGAATTAGTCATCCACTTAAAGTAGTGAATAAAATATTAATTATGCGTGCATAATGCAGCCGAAATGGTAAGTGCACAACAAGGGAAAATCAATGCTGAATCTTTAGAAGCATATTTTTCAACCTCCCACGAGGCGGACGATATCAATTTGTCTTCTTTATAAAACATTATTCAATTGTCTTTTTCACACGCCATAGAAGACAATGAATAATGTTTTCTGAAGAAGACCAATTACTAAAATAACAAAACCATGTCGGGCAAGATGAGTTTTTTCTCATAGCATTAACGGCAAAACCAATTTCTAGAGATCAGGGTGCAGCAAATGGAGAAGAAACAGAGGCATTTTGTGTTGGTCAATGGAGCGTTCCATGGAGCATGGTGCTGGTATAAGGTGGCAACTCTGCTGAAATCCGCCGGCCACAAAGTTACAGCTCTGGACCTGGCTGCTTCTGGGGTACATCCGAAGCAAGTTCATGAGCTTCATTCAATTTCAGACTACTATGAGCCATTGATGGAATTCATGGCGTCTCTGCCAGAAGAGGGAAGGGTGATTCTGGTGGGTCACAGCCTGGGTGGAATCAGCCTATCTGCAGCCATGGAAAGATTTCCTGAGAAAGTTTCTGTCGCAATTTTTGCCACAGCTGTTATGCCAGGCCCTGACTTCAGTTTTGCTTCAATAGAAGAAGAGGTACTTGTTCATCACTCTCTCTTCCCTTTTCCCACATTGTCACACACACCTAAGATAAAAACAAGCAGGCATTAGAAACTATAAAATCCCTTGTCTCTTTCTCTTCGGCATTTTTAGCACAAACCCAAAGATCAACCTTTTTTTCTGATTTCATTTTCCCTCTTTGTTGCATAATTGGATCTTTATTGGCACAATTATGCAAATCATATGAGTAAATACCCTACCATTTTCAATTACAATCTGACGCAATTTCCTTCATATGTCAACGTATCAAATAATCATCAATGGAATTTTCCTTCTACATTTTCCTTTGCTTGGTTTTTCTCGGGCAGTTTACCAGGAAAGGAATATTTTCCAAGATGGATGGGAAATATACATTTGACAACGGGCCAGACAACCCTCCGACCTCCGTACTCGCCTGGCACAACTACCTTTCATCAAATGTATACCAGCTATCCCCTCCCGAGGTAAAAAACGAATTCATTTCTTCTCCAACTCCAAAAGCAAGTTATAGCAAAGGATGCTTCTATCAGATTTCTTTTCGGTTATAAATGGGTGATATAATTTATAAGCAGGATTTGATGCTTGCAACGGTTCTGATAAGACCAACTGCTCTGTATGGAGGCAAAATATCTCTAGAGCTTACCAAGGAAAGATATGGATCAGTAAGCAGAGTGTACATTGTGTGCGATCAAGATCGTGGGATACCTGAAAACTTGCAGAGGTGGATCATTGAAAACAATCCACCAGATGAGGTGAAGCTGGTCTCTGGCTCTGATCATATGGTGATGTTTTCAAAGCCGAAGGAGCTGTCCTCTTGCCTTCAAGGAATTGCAGAGAAATATTCTTGAATGCGCTTGTACTCCTTGCTAGTAATAAAGCATGCATCAACTCACTACGTAGACATGTATATGTCCTTTTTGCTTCGTTGTACAGGTTGTTAAGTGCATAATGTGTCTGTTTATGATGCGGTGGAATGCATATAACTTTCTTTAACACTTGTCTTTATGTGTAACAGGTGTTAATCATGCATTACTTCTATAAATACATTTTGCTTATGAAGCTGTGAATGCAGAACTTTGGACATATCAGTTTGCTTCTTCAATGCTTTGTTCTTTGTAACTCTTCTCAGACTACTTGGTTTTTATCTTTACTTCTTGAAACTGAGTTCATGACATACCTGTCACCTCTTCGAAATATGGCTTTGGGATGGGTCCAAGTATTAGCTGAATAAAAGTTGTGTAAACACCATTTTTCAAGTTCCATTAACGATCTTTGACTTTTAGGGGCCAATCTGGAGATCATTGGCTTTTATGAATATATACTCTATTGACTTAAAAGGGAAAAGGGGCCTGGGGTTGAATTTGAGGAAATTAATGAAAATGAATGAATTGTAACCCATCAATGTCAAACTTATTGCAATGGGTAAAGATTTTATCCACTACTTCATCTTGAGACAATTAATGCATATATATTGAAAATAAAATTTTAATGATTTTAAATTGAGTAGGAAGGTAAATGAAAATTACTTAGAAAAATTATACGGACAAGTATGACTTTTTCGTTGGAAGGTACAGAGGCCAGCATCTCCAACAAAGGTTCACTGTATTCATGAAATGTCCGGACATCTTGGATCGACTTGGCGTTGATGCCAGAAGCTGCAAGGTCAAGCGCTGTGACCCTGAGACCAGCAGACTCGAGCCGGGTTTTGAGTTTGAACCAACGCCAAGCTCCTTTGCACATCCCATGCACCAGCACGAACTGCTTTTCCCTATTGTCCTCTCCCATGGTTTTTTTTCCTTCTTAGTCTTGTGTCAGAGAGTTTGAACTCTGCTCCCTTGACTCTTGGCCTTATTCAGCAGAGGCGTTAGACATTGCCGATCTAGGCCGGCCCAAGATGGGAAATAAAAGCTAGAAATTTTGGGCTATAGACACAAATTATTCCAGAAAGTGATATTCTGGGCGTATTTGGATTCTCTCATTATTGATTAGGGTTTGGAGACTTCATGCACTTATTGGAACAAATGGGTTAAAAGGAAAAATCACTACTTTTGGCAATAGTTTTTTTTGATTAATCATTAACTTCGTGGCTAAGTCAGTCTCCTGGAAGTGACTTGATTCACGTTTATTGTATAATTTTGAAGACAATCAAATAAAAGTGGTACGAAAACAATACAAGAGTTAAGTGGATTTAAATTTAAGATTAGCATATTTTATATATTAATAGTATTAATTCGTTTAAGACATGAAATAAAGTAAATTCATTTAATTTATTTAAAATTTTTTAATAATTGATTGTTATTGTGTCAATCTAAATATTTGACTCGTATAATTTGTTTATAAACTTATATAATATAAATTTTAATAAATTAATTATGTTTAAATAAGTTGTCAATTGTATTGTATCACATTCAATTTAATCCAATTTATGTAATAAATGTATTAGTGATCGTCTAATAAATGAGTTAATTATTTTATATAATATATTTAATAAACATATTTATGTATGTATTTAAAATTTTAAACTATTTAATTAATCACATTATATTTATATTTATTCATATAATTATTAATATCTTAAAGTTATATTATACAAGCCGAGAATTGTGGTCAAAAGATTTATCATGGTATATAATTCACAGGATTTGCGTGCTTTTCGTTTTGTTTGTGTATCCCTTGCTGGTCTAATTCAGGGACTTCATGAAGTATTCATGGATAGACCTGGCCCAGATTTTGACCTGTGTTCTAGCTCCATCCCTTTTAAAAAGATTTCGTTAGGGTTGGGCCAGTGTTAACCTATGAAACCCAATGTCCCATTACAATATATTGTATTTTAGAAACATGCACTCCATACAATTATTAAATGCTATATATTAATTATTTTGGTTAGGTTGGGAGAGCTACTATATATAAAATGCCAAGTCTGGGATGGAAATGAAATTCGTTGCAGCTAAAAGTAGCAGTAGCTAGCTTTAATGGAGCAAGGATCAGTAGCACTATTAAAATTTATCATTTTATCTAAAACTTTAAAAGTTTTTAATTATTGAATAAATGTTAATTTTGATGACATATGATTGTAAATTGTGATTCGTACCCAATGTATAAAAATAAAACAATAAATATTTCATACCCAATATCTTTTTTTTTATTGAACTCAAGATGTTTCGAAAACTCATGAATGCTGCTAAAAGGATATACGTAAATAATTAAAAAAACATATGAAAAAGTGAGGTTTGAGTAAAAAAATTTTATTCGAATAGTAATATTCTACAAAAAAAAAGAAATAGTTATTTACTGATCATTTTCAACATCAAGCTCTCTCCATTCATCTTCCAGTCCTAGCAAAGAGGTCAGGTTGTCCAACTCCATTTCTAACATGGGTGCAAGCTCACTCTCAAGCATGTTACCGTTCTCAAACATGTCCTCTATCCGAGTTTGTGAGAAATCTAAGTAATCCAAAGTATTAGGCATATAAAGCTCACTGTCAATCAATGCCTCATCTTCTACATTAGGCATTTGGACCTCATCCTTTTGAGATTCCAACATTAATTCATCATCCGCTGGGGTTGGAGGAGCAAGACATGGGTTGTTCGACAAATGGTTTCCTTTCACAAGTGAGATTAAGGTCCTAGTGCAACGTCTGGCCTTAGGTGCAATCACATTAGGAGTACTACCCGATCTATACTTCTCAACCGATTCCTCCCCTTCACATTCACATTGCATATTCGATGGCTTTGATGCATCGCCATTCAACTTTTTTGACAGTACAGAGTTCCAATAATTCTTGATCTCGTTGTCTGTTCGTCCTGGAAGCCTTCCAGCTATCAAGGACCACCTACAAAAATTAAAGAAAAAATTAATTGCTTCACCAATCCGCCGTGCCTTGACATGAATGCTTTGAAGTTTAAAGCACAAAAATTGTCTTTTCATTCACTGCCATTCCTCAACCATCCCTCTTTCCGCCATTGGCGTAGACGTAAGCATTATAAGGTATACTATAAAACTAACATCTTTCAAAGCATTTATTATAAATCCATGATCACAAAAACATTTTTTCCCTAATCCGGAATGCAACAGGATTATTAATATACAGTAAAGATAGGCTAGCCAGTGTGGCATTCTAGTCTAGAAATGTAATGCAATTTCCTCCTTGAAATGTGTTTTAATGGATGCTTCTTCAATTTACATTCTTATCATTTCTACCTTTGAATTGATAAAGGAAAAAACGATCAGAAGAATTTGTATAGAATTTGGCATTTGATGCAATTTAATCTTTTCTCGTCCAAACAAGCCCCAAGGGACAAAGTTTATGTTATTTTTAACAAATTGATTGAGAAGAAGGAGAAGTTACCTGTTACCAAGAAGACGATGAAGTCTAATGATAAGGTCCTCTTCATCAGGAGAAATATTACCTCTCTTAATACCTGGCCTCAAATAATTCATCCATCGTAGCCGGCAGCTCTTCCCACATCTGTTCAAACCTTTATTAATTGAAAAACAACAGATGCAAAAAGAAGAAAACAAGTTATAAACTGAAGAACCTGTAGTTCAGAGATGAAATGAAGAACAAAGAGAAGAAAAAGAAACAAGACTGTTTTGCGTATACCAGCTTTTTGGGGAAGAGTATTCCATTTGCCTTCTCCATGGAGCTCAATATAGTTGGTTAAGATTTTATCTTCCTGCACGGACCATGCTCCTTTGTTGACCCCCTCCTTGAGACGGCATGGTTTTCTACCCATTCTTTTCAGCTGCTCTTTTCCCCTACCCCAATGCGTTCAGTATATATAGTGGGAAAAAGCCAATAAAATGAAGGAAGCAACACTTGGGTTTTTTAATCTTTTTTTTTTTGTTTTTTTTGCAACGACCATTGGCTTTGCCTTTGTGAAAGCATTTAACGTTTCCAACAGATTCTGGCTTATTCAGAAAAAGGAAAGAATGGCTCTCACGTTGCATGCCACATTAAATAGGGCCAGTGGAAAAATAAGCATGGAAACAGGCCTCACATAGAAGAACAACTCATCATCCTGTCCTTTTCCCTCTGTTTTCAACAACATGTGCCAAAAGAAAAGTCAAATTCTGAGCATTCCCCGTTTAAGGGTAAAATCATATTCGTTTCCATAAATGGATACTTGACTATTTTGAATAAAACATATTTATGCTAACAAATGCTCTTAAATTAATCATTTAACAGGACCCTTAACTAAATGAAGTAGTCTTTTTAAGATCCATTAGACTGATCCAAAGACGAGGGAAAATTATTTATATGGTTTCTAAACTCACTTGTTTCCCCCTTCAATTTTTTATTTCTGTCCACGTATCATCTAAATATATGATAAGAAAATGACAAAAAAAACGAAGAAGAGGTGAATGGTTTTTGAGAGTGAAATTATAATTATTCTTTTGCTAAATTAAGAAAAAAATTCTTTTATATTTAAACACGAATGATTTACTGAAGGAAATAATTTATAAGAGCTAATTTGTGAGAGTAATATTTAATTATTTTAATAATATTAATTTGATGTTAAGGCAAACTTCAAGGCCTATTCTATGTTTATTAGTATATAGTACTATTGCTGTTTGCTAATAAAGCTCTCTTGAAATATGTAGGAAGCTAAGGTTATTGTTTCTTTAATATAAATTCATTTAGAAAAAGAAAAAAAAAATCCCAACAGCAAATGACAATGTTGGGGGGGTTGACAGGACAAAGATTTTTAAAACTTAAGAGTGAAAGAATTTATAAATGAATTCAAAATTAGATAAACTAAGTCTCAATTAGGAGTTATGTAATTAAATAATAATTGTAGGGTTTGAATTGAGCTTAGTTTATCTACAGCCTACGAATATCATCCAAAAGCAATCTTAATTTAAAATTATGGATTCATATTTGATATATTATCAATGTAATTGATGTATTATAAATGATATCATCATTAAAATCAATATTTATTAATAAAAAAATTTAAAAAAGTTTTGATGAAGTAACAAAATGTATTTTACAATTAAAACTTTTCAGTCAACATATATATACATATATATATATATACATATATATTTATGTGTACTATTTTCTTCGTCA